TACTGGGAAATTGGATGTTACACCTGATTGTTTACACAGGGTAGATTTGAATTGTAGATCTACACATAATCACACATACACACACTCATGCATGTGTGTACTTAGAGTGTAGTTATTAAACCAAGTCGTGTTTACTCGTAAAATCACTCTAATACACTTCCACAATTTTAATGGGCTTAATCCTATTTGCACCCTTGAAATGGAGCATTTTCGAACTTTGCACCCTTGAAAAATAATAATAGCACTTTATACCCTCAAAACACACTAAATCATTCACAATACACCATGAATTGATAATAAAGGCAGTTTCATTTTTTATTGGTTTTTTTCCGCGGAATACAGAATAACAAATTAAATTCTTAATTTCTTCAACCTCAAACCTAATTTCGAGCGCACAAAATGACAAATAATAAAAATCGCACCGGATTATTAAAAATAATTATATTTTAATAAATTGAAATAAACTTTTATAACTAAAGTATTCGATTGATGGATCTTTTATTGCAACTGGTGGAAATATTAGGTAAAATTCTTTGGAATAAATATGGTTTTCATATAACTTGATAACGAAATAGCTGAATGATTTTTTTTCGTAAAATATTTTTTTGTGATAAAAAATATAATTTCTAATAATATCGATGAGATGTATTTTTATTCTTGCACTTAATAATTTCAAAATAATTGATGAAGAAAAAAAAGGATTTGACATTTTTCATCCTAAAAAAATACGACAAACAATATTAAATTACCTTTATTGGCTTTAAAAATTCATTTGGAGTGCATTATGCATAATTTATTGTGTTTCGAGAATGTAAAATGCTATTAATTTGTTTCGAAGGTGCAAAGTGCCAAAATTATATATTTCAAGAGTGTAAAGTGGGATTAAGCCATTTTATGAAATTTTGAAAGACAAGGAAACTCAATCTTCTAATTAGTTAGAGAATCCAAGTTCCATACAACTCTCTTGCAAAGTGAATAACTCACGGAATTGTATATATATATATATACACACAGAAACATGCTGCAAATATATCCACGCCGCCTACAGACTTCAAAATCATGGCCGATGATAATAAATCACACGTTCCACCGGAAATCATAGAAATTATCCTATCAAAATTATCAGTTAAATCTCTTCATAGATTCAAGTCAGTTTCTTCATAGATTCAAGTCAGTTTCCAAGTCATGGAATACTATAATCACAGATCCTATATTCATTCAGAATCATATCCAAAAATCTAAGCATTCAAACTCGCATAACCTTTTCCTAAGTCGTGTGAGGTCGAGTTCTCCTATCCGGTTTTCCGTGGTTAAATTCGACGATAAAAAATTTCAGACCCTACCAGTAGTAATAGAAGCCCCCTTTGGGTGTGGGTTGGTATTATGCTTTTGTGATGGCATCCTACTCTTAACCAACCATTCGTACCAGAGACTTGTGTTGTGGAATCCATCCACTCGAACAGCGGAAAAGCTTTGGCATCGGAATAGCTGCAGTAAGGCGTCTTTCGGGCTTTGCCGTGATCCAAACACTGACGATTTTAAGGTTGTTGTTGCGGATTGGTACCACTACTCAGTTTATTCTTGTAAGAACAAATCCTGGATTATGTTGACAAAGAATTACGAAATTGAATCCACCGGTTTAGGTCTAATGAACAGAAATCCGAAAGGACTCTGTGTTAACGGGGCCAGCTATTGGGTTTGGAGTTTCGAAAACGCTACAAAAATAATGTATTATGATCCGAGAGATGACAAGTTCAAGATGCTGGATAAGCCGAAAAAAATAGACGACAGAAAATTGATTTTCTTGGTTAATTTGAGGGGCTCCTTGTGCCTGTATTGCAATTTTCATGGCATAGAGAAGAACACAGTTCGGATTTGGGAAAAGGAAAACGGCATAGATAATAATTCTTGGAAGGAGTTGATAACCGTTAAATATCACAAGGTGTCGGTTTTTTCGGTGTTGCAGCCACTATGTTTTATCCGAAATAAGATTGTATTCACAGAAGATTATGATAGATTAGTAATTTATAACCTTTGTGATAGAAGGCTTGAAGAATTCAAAACGGACACAGAGTTCTGGGACATCGCATCTGTTCCGGTTAACTATATGGAGAGTTTGTACTTCCCCATTGAGAGATCGAAACCCGAGAGGTAATTGAAGCGGAACTGTTTACAATAGAGTATTATTTAGCATTTCATAGTTCAGTGTCACGTCGAAATAAGTCTATTCTTGTTTTGAAGACGTGGGTTATATTTGTTTTCTCGATCAGATCTAGTCCCTCATGTTTCAAAAATTGAACATTTTTTGTCATTTCCGTCAATTTTTCGTAAGTACGTAATGGAATCAAGCAATGTGTCCATCACTGTCTACTTTTGGTCATTTCAGTTATTTTTTTGTTAATGGCGTCAAGCAATCTGTCCATCACTGT